TTGAGCATAACAATAAAATTATACTTAAATTTGCATATTTTTCAAATTTTTCTTTTGTTTGTGAGTGAAAAAATTCCAAAACTAACCGCACAACTTCTTAATATTTAAAATGTATTTTAAGCACCTTATATTTGATGTTAAATTCAAAGATTAATGGGGTTTTTAAACTTGGGATTATCAGCAAGTTTAGTTAGCAGTATTAAAGAAAAATGTGTGTGTTTGTCGTTTTTTTTTATAAATATTTAGTATTTTAAAATTATTTTTGTTGGCATTAATGGAAAATTCTTAAAATTTTTTGAAAAAGAAGGGGCGAAATAAATATTAAGCTTTATCGGTTTAAACATTTTTTTGCAAAGTAGAGAACAAAAATTTAAGCTGTTTTAATCCTTATTGGATTATTTTTAGATTTCTTTGTTTAAATTTCTTTAAAAAAAATTAAATCACTTTATAAATTTAGACTCTTTGCCTTTAATAATACGTGCCAAAATTCCATGAGAACCAGTTTCAAAAACAGGGAACCTAAAAGTTTAATTTTGTGTTTTAGATTTAGTTACTTAGATCTTATCTTATAACTTTTGCATTTGTTCCTATTTTTTATCAAATTTCAGGAAACTACAATTTCGTCAGCAATTTTAATGCGTATTTTCTACCAATAAAGTACTTGGCAAAATCCCTACTTTTATCTTTAGATTTACATTAAGTTATTAAGAAAAAAGTGCTTACAGAAACACATCCTATAGGCGCTTAACAAAAATACCCAATAACCAATTTAGTTCACACAAAGAAAAGATAAAATACGAAAGAAATTATAATAGCCCAGCAAAAATTTTCATTACCTAGTAATCTAGGAAGTAATATTGGAATCACGTGGAAACTAATTACTTTTGGGGTGAATAACTAATTATTTTTGTTCGACGAGGTTCAAATAATATGTACCTACCTTAAACAAATTAATAAATGGTTACTAATTTGATTACAAAAACTTTGCGAAATAACTAGTTACAAATAAACCTACAAATATGTTATGTGATAGCTAGTTATTTTGGGCTGACTTTGTATGTAGAAAACAAAAAATAAAAAAATTCTCGGCCGGGATTTGAACCCAGGCATTCAGTTGTTTTCTGTGTTTCTCACTCCAGCCGCTTACTCGATGCTCCATTAACATGTTGCTTTTTGTAATTTTGAGAACGGCATTTTACAAAAATATATAAATGAATGTCATTTTGAAAAAAAATAAACAGTATCCAGCAGGGCTCGAACCACGAGTTATTTTGGGCTGACTTTGTATGTAGAAAACAAAAAATAAAAAAATTCTCGGCCGGGATTTGAACCCAGGCATTCAGTTGTTTTCTGTGTTTCTCACTCCAGCCGCTTACTCGATGCTCCATTAACATGTTGCTTTTTGTAATTTTGAGAACGGCATTTTACAAAAATATATAAATGAATGTCATTTTGAAAAAAAATAAACAGTATCCAGCAGGGCTCGAACCACGAACCCCCTGTTTGTTAAATAAACGACCTAGACAATTGAGCCATAACAAATCCAAATTGTTTTGTTCTTTACCAGTAATAACCTATTCAGCTAAATAAAATAATGTGGATGATAATGAACACTCATTACCAAGTAATGTATGAAATAACTACTGGCTATTACCAAAAATTTCAGATTTTTTGCTGGGAGGGTGTGACCGACTATCTAATAACCTACATTTTACTGAATTTTTTTTATTCAAGAATCTTATTTTTTATGTTAGAGTAAGTTAGAGTGAACTGTTGACTTTAACAATATTCTGTAGTCTAGTCTATAGTGTAGTCTATAGTCTAGTCTAGCCTATAGTGTAGTCTATAGTCTAGTCTATAGTCTAGTCTATAGTCTAGTCTATAGTCTAATCTATAGTCTAGTCTATAGTCTAGTCTATAGTCTAGTCTATAGTCTAGCCTATAGTCTAGTCTATAGTCTAGTCTATAGTCTAGCCTATAGTCTAGTCTATAGTCTAGTCTATAGTCTAGTCTATAGTCTAGTCTATAGTCTAGTCTAGTAGTCTAGTCTATAGTCTAGTCTATAGTCTAGTCTATAGTCTAGTCTATAGTCTAGTCTAGTAGTCTAGTCTAGTCTATAGTCTAGTCTATAGTCTAGTCTATAGTCTAGCCTATAGTCTAGTCTATAGTCTAGTCTATAGTCTAGTCTATAGTCTAGTCTATAGTCTAGTCTATAGTCTAGTCTATAGTCTAGTCTATAGTCTAGTCTATAGTCTAGTCTATAGTCTAGTCTATAGTCTAGTCTATAGTCTAGTCTATAGTCTAGTCTATAGTCTAGTCTATAGTCTAGTCTATAGTCTAGTCTATAGTCTAGTCTATAGTCTAGTCTATAGTCTAGTCTATAGTCTAGTCTATAGTCTAGTCTATAGTCTAGTCTATAGTCTAGTCTATAGTCTAGTCTATAGTCTAGTCTATAGTTTAGTCTATAGTTTAGTCTATAGTCTAGTCTATAGTTTAGTCTATAGTATAGTCTATAGTCTAGTCTATAGTCTAGTCTATAGTCTAGTCTATAGTCTAGTCTATAGTCTAGTCTATAGTCTAGTCTATAGTCTAGTCTATAGTCTATAGTCTAGTCTAGTCTAGTCTATAGTCTAGTCTAGTCTAGTCTATAGTCTATAGTCTAGTCTAGTCTAGTCTATAGTCTAGTCTATAGTCTAGTCTATAGTCTAGTCTATAGTCTAGTCTATAGTCTAGTCTATAGTCTAGTCTATAGTCTAGTCTATAGTCTAGTCTATAGTCTAGTCTATAGTCTAGTCTATAGTCTAGTCTATAGTCTAGTCTATAGTCTAGTCTATAGTCTAGTCTATAGTCTAGTCTATAGTCTAGTCTATAGTCTAGTCTATAGTCTAGTCTATAGTCTAGTCTATAGTCTAGTCTATAGTCTAGTCTATAGTCTAGTCTATAGTCTAGTCTATAGTCTAGTCTATAGTCTAGTCTATAGTCTAGTCTATAGTCTAGTCTATAGTCTAGTCTATAGTCTAGTCTATAGTCTAGTCTATAATCTAGTCTATAGTCTAGTCTATAGTCTAGTCTATAGTCTAGTCTATAGTCTAGTCTATAGTCTAGTCTATAATCTAGTCTATAATCTAGTCTATAGTCTAGTCTATAGTCTAGTCTATAGTCTAGTCTATAGTCTAGTCTTTAGTCTAGTCTATAGTCTAGTCTATAGTCTAGTCTATAGTCTAGTCTATAGTATAGTCTATAGTCTAGTCTATAGTCTAGTCTATAGTCTAGTCTTTAGTCTAGTCTATTATTGCATTATTTTTATTATTTTAATCTGTTACAGACAGCAGTAGGAGTGCAAAATACCCATTTTCTTGGAGTAGTTTACAAATATGTGCCTTGCGCTTAACAAAGAGAAATCATAACACTCCCTGTCCTTGCTGACAGCTAAAAACACATTCACTTGCTAAACTCTCTATAACAATCTATTATTATCATTATTATCGTCATTATCATTGTTATTATTTATTTTTATGATGATGATGGTACATGCAATAGCAACACTATCTGGCATTCACTAAGATTCCTTGAATTAACTACTCCAATTACATATGTTTGTATATGTATGTCTGTAGCAGCAGCACCACTTACATTAGCTATATATGATGCAGCGGAAGAAGTGTAAGGCCCTTATCAAGTTTTACTTAAATTAAAACACTTTACTCAACAGAAAATATCTTTTTTTTTGGTTGCAACAACAACAATAAAATCGCTGTAAAATAATACTAAACCAAGGTAAAATGCGAAGCAAAAGTATAAAATCATACACTAAAAGATAAACGCCCACGCATGCGTACAAGTGGTTTTAATATTTAACCAATATAACGTAAACAGACACTGGCGACAAAGCGACTACATTAAAATATTTCACAGAAGTGAGTCAAATTTTCAGTCTCTTTAATCAAAGTCATTATGTTTAACCCTAAAAGAGCAGAAAAAGGAAAAATTAACACAAATCCTAATTTGTTCGGTTTTTATACTTATAGTTACAAACATAATTTTTCATTTTAGAAAATGTTTGTATAGTTCTAAATCTTTTTGTATTTTCTCCCTAATGGGTTAATGCTTAAAATGTTGCATTTTCCCCTCATTAAAAATGACTCATTCTCAGTTAAAGGAGTCTCTTTTGTCAAGCTAGTTTTTTTACCACCACATCATGTTTATTTTTTGTTTAATTCTTTAGAATTATTGTTTGTTGCTTACAATAATAACAAAAGAATATAATTAACATAAAATGTTTGTTTACAATCTTCATTAAAACCATTTTGTTTCTCTGTAAAACTTAATTTATAAATATAAAAACCGCAATTTCATAATTTTATTTTATATTTTTTATTATTGTAACCATACCCCAAAAAATCACAAGACCGTGTGGGTTTCAAATAAGAAAAAAAAAATTTGCTTACAAAAATAACAAAAGAACATTTAATGTCAGTAACCATTTTATTGTTTATGCAAAAATTGTAAAAGAAAAAAAAAAACATTTTGATTTTGTTTATAACACTTCATATTCATAATAATTTCATATTTTGTGTTTAAAGGCAATTTAATATTTTGTATGCAAGTAAAATAATATGCAAATTTAAATAAAAATTATTATCAAAGAATGCCATTCAATGTAAATTTATTATTATGAAACATGTAAGTTTTATTTATAAAGAAGTTTGGGGATTTTGCAACATGTTGCTGAGGAGAATTAAAACATGTTTTCTTTAGTGTTTACAAAGGATTAAGATTTTTTTGATTGCAGAAATAATTAAAATTTCTTTACAACAATTGATCGGATTCTTTGTGAATTTCTAGCAAAATTTACAAATTGTTTATAACAATTACAATTTGTTTAGAAAATTGAAGATTTAGAAAATTGTTTGCAACATGTTGCTAAACATGTTTAATTTTTGGATGTATTAATTTACAAAAATATAATTTAATGTTTTTTTTTTTATTTCTCTTTACAGTTGACCGTTTTTAGTTTACATCAAAGGAGAGATTGGTGAGTAAAGACAAGATTTTTTAAAAAATTATTCGAATTTCTTCCTTTTGAAAAAAAATTCATATTAAGTATTATTTTGTAATAAAAATTTTAGCCAAATAGTACATTGACTAGTCAGTCTGTAGACTAATTCGTACATTCGTCATTATACTAGTCTACGGATAATTAGACCAACTATTCTATTAACTAATATGTTTAAGTCTTTTTTGCTAATCTGTGGAATAGCCTATTCTGTAGACTATGAATTAGAGTCTTGACTATAATCTAAGCTCAAATTATGGCATACGATATAGATCAAAATCTCCATTTAGATTCTATTGAGATTTCGATCGATATCATATGCCGTAATTTGGGCCCTGGTCTTTTGACTATTCTATGTACTAGTCTATTTACTACCATATGGAATAGCCTATTGACTAGTATGTGGCCTAGCATATTAACTGTTCTATGGATTAGAATATTCACGAGATTATGAACTAGCCCATTGACTGGTCTATGGACGAACCTACTATATAGTCAATGGACTAGCTATTGATGAGTCTATGAACTAGCCTATTGACTATTCTATGGACTATCCTATTGACTATTCTATGGACTGTCCTCTTTACTATTCTATGGTCTAACCTATTCTCTAGTCTTAACTAGTTTATAAACTGGCCTATTACTAATCTAAGGACTGCCTCTTGACAAATCTATGGACTACCAAAGTGCAAGTCTAAGGACTAGACTATGGATGAGCCTATTGAATAGTCTATAAAATAGTCTATTAAATAGTATAAGGAGCCTGTTAATGAGTCTATGAAATAGCCTATTGATGAGCGTATGGACTAACATATTGACTAACCTATAGACTAGCTTTTAGCTTACTCTATGGACTTGCTTATTGACTAGTCTCTGGACTAGCCTATTGATAAGTCTATGAACTAGCCTATTGACTAGTCTCTGGACTGGAATATTAACGAATCTATGGACTAGCCTATTGACTAGGATATAAAACTATGGACTTGCTTATTGACTAACCTCTGGACTATCCTATTGATGAGTCTATGAACTAGCCTATGGACTTGCTAATTGACTAGTCTCTGGACTATCCTATTGACTAGCATATTGACTTGTTTTCGGACTGGTCTATTGACTAGTATATGTAGTGTAGTCTATGGACTAGTGAATTGAATGTCATATGGTGTATATCCATAGAAAGGAAATACTATATAGCACTTTTTGGTAAGAGTACTTTCTTTTGGTTAGATATTGTAATCTGCAGAACTAGTTCGGGAAAGAAGGTCTGGAATTAGTTCGTTTTCAGTTATTTTTACAATTTTCTGATACTAATTATAAAACAATCACATATAGAACTAGTTTCCATAAAAAATATCCGGCAATATTGGAATATTAAAAGAACAACCCAGCAACAACTTTCATGGCTAAGTATGGGATTAAAATTCTTAAATTTACTTACGGTGGATGATGCCATTGGAGGCAAGTACATCCCACAGCCGCTTACAAGTAATTAGAAAAATTAGTCAATGTCTATATATAGATGACTATAGCTTCACAGAAAATATGACTAATGAATTAAAAGATAATTATAAAACACATTATTAATATGGCATTATTAGACTACTTCTATTTCATTAGGGCGATATGTATGTTAATATATAAGTGATTACAAATGAAAGTTATTACCAAGTTATTGCTTGTAACTAATTAAAATAATTATTCAAATTTCCATTTCCAAATAAATTTCTTATGAATATTTCGCTGGAAGACAATTATGAAATCATTAAAATCTATTATTTAAATAAATTTTCACTCAAAATGTTCAATTATTCCAAACACATTACTTGTAGATCCCTGTTAAAATAAACAATTATTATGTTCCCTCTACAAATAAAAATTATAATGTTTATAATGTGTGATTTGATTATTTAAATGGCCATTAAATAACAAATATTACAATGTAAATCTGTCTGTCATACCTACTATAAGCCCCTTACAACAACAATATTGTAACAAGTGTTGTAACCCAAATTTTATGTTAGAAATAAATTTGAAAACAAATTTTTTTTTTTTGGAAAACTAACAAATTCAATCATAATTTTCTCTTGTTTTAAATAAATTTTTTTTGTAAAGAAATTATGATGGTTTTATTGTTTATTTTCTATAATAAACATCCGTATGGCGTTAAAAGGCCGGGAATGGGAAAAGTTACATGCTGTGGATTATAAATAAGAAATTTTCTATTACAAATAAGAAATTTTGAAAAAAGAAATGTTTAGATGTTTTCTTTCTTTTTTGATACATTTTTTTAAAAGAAAATAAACAAATTTAGTGGTGATTTTATATTTAAAAAATTTTGTGATTAAAACTTTAGTTTAATATAAGTGGCATTAAAGAACGCACGGTTTTTTTTGTTTCGTTTAAAAAAAATTAAATTTTTCTTTTTTAACTAAAAGAAAAAAATAGTATAATGTTAAATATTTATAAAAATTAAGGAAATTTAAAAAAAACAATTATGTTGCAGTGCAAAAGGTAGACTTAACTATTTAACTTTGAAATGTATTGATATTTGTTAATAATTTATTGCTAAAATATTTAGTTTTTTTTTAAACAGAAAATCATTGAACAATTTGTCAATAACTTAAGCCTACAATAAAAAAAACGTGTTCTCCATTGACAATTTCAACTCAAGTTTCTAAATAACATAAATCTCAGAAGAAAAAAAAAAAACCTAAACGAAATTTTATACAAATTTACGATTAATGCCCGGCATATAATTTCGTTTATCTTGACATTTTGTATGAACATTTGACGTTTTTGTCAAGGCACACGCACGCACCTTTAAGACTCTTGGTAAAATATTTATGAACAAAATGAAAACTAAATACATATATAAATATCACATATTTTAGGCTTAACACAAATTAAACAACCAAAAAAAAGTCTCTTTCATACATATATTGGCATATATTTGCATAAAAAGGCTTTAATCACCTCCATACAATTCAAAATCATAAATATATTTAAACACACACGTTAAATTTATTGACATTTGTTTGTACGCAAATTTTTTGCTGGCATGTCCTCCTCTAGCCAGTCTCTGATCAAATCAAATTGTTTAAGTTTCAATAAATTCAATAAATCTTTAAATTACCCCACGATTTCTTTTACTTTAACTCTAATTGTAAATGATCTCTTTATGATGATGGTGTTAATAATGATTTATTGATATTTCATTTCAAAACTCATTAAAGTATCAATTAATGGTTCATAGTTAATAATAAACGTGTTATGATTTAAGCAAAAAACATGTTTTTATACCCACCATCAAAAAAGAATGGGGGGTATATTGATTTTGTCATTCCGTTTGTAACACATCGAAATATTGGTCATAGACCCACAAAAGTATATATATTCTGGGTCCTCATTAAATTCTAAGATGATCTAGCCATGTCTGTCCGTCCGTCTTTCTGTCTGTCTGTCTGTTGAAAGCACGATAGAGTCCGAATGTTTGGTATTGAAAATGGGCAATATCGGTCCACTTTTTCGGATAGCCCCCATACAAGTGGCCCCTCGAAAAGCAGCTTTAACAGCCATAACTTGTTTAAAAATACGAATATAGAGATGAAATTCCACATAAGTAAGTTTCTTATGATCCAAAATCACTATGCAAAATTTTATGAGGATCGGTCCATAATTGACCCATATAAGGTCCCCTTCAGAAAATAACTTTAACGCTCATTACTGGCTTAAAAATACTAGTATATAGATGAAATTCGACATAAGTAAGTTTCATACGAGTCAAAATCTATATAAAAAATTGTATGAGGATCGGTCCATAATTGACCCTACCCCCCATATAAGGTCCCCTTCAGAAAATGACTGCAACGCTCATTAATGTTTTAAAAATACGAGTGTAGCGATGAAATTCGACACAAATAAATTTAATACGAACCAAATTCTGTCTACCAAATTTTATGAGGATCGACCCATAATTGACCATACCCCCCTATATAAGGTCCCCTTCAGAAAATTACTTTAACGCTTATAACTGGCCTAAATATACGAGTATATAGATGAAATTCGACATAAGTAAGTTTCATTCGAGTCAAACGAGGTTTGATGGTGGGTATATAAGATTCGGCATAGCCGAATATAACACTATTACTTGTTTTTTCTTTTAATTTGGTGAAATAAAAAAAAAACTCACGCAAACATTTTGAATTCAATGTCTTTTTGAATTTGTTATAATACAAAAAAAGTGTTTGAATAAAGGGGAAGGAACCTCAGTAAGAAAGATCAATCGTAATATCCGCTTTATTCTACCCTCGTTTAAAGAGTTCTATTACTGGCCAACACACACGATTTTAGTTGAGACTCACTTCATTAACTCAAAATACTTCAGGTATTTCAAAAAGGGAACTAAGATACGAATGTCGAAGCAGTTTACGTGAACACCTGCCGTTTTGGCCTATTTCACACGGTGGTCTTTTTCAACCACTGGGTGAGCTTTTGTAACGACTCACAACCGTCCCATTGTGCTTCTTACACGCAGATGACAATTTACGTATATATGGAATTTCCGGTCCAGTATACATGCATTTTGGTCAAGCACTCGAGCTATCAAATCTCTTGCCATAGTAGTCATAAGTCAAGCTCAATATAACCACGACAAAGGAAAAGGCAATCACTGGTTAGAGTCGATAGAAGGGGCGGACCCAATATTAGGTGTAAACACCCTATTGATGCTATGAAGAATGCCCTTGTTCCCACAAACATTCTAATCATCTAAAGACTCACTCCAGTGCATTCCTGAACCTCTTAAAGTCGCCAACCACAACAGTACCTAGGGGTATTGAATTGATAGTCCGAAACATGGATTCATTTTAAATTGACACAACTTATTTCAGTGGCCACAAGGACCTACTGTGATAAACTCCAACACACTTAAACATGTAGGAAAATCGCCGATAAATTAAAGATTAAAATATTACAGCTCC